AATAAAATACACGTTTTAATACACCTCAGTTTATCATTTAACTCCACTCTATGTAAACTATGAATTGAATGAATGTCAGGGAGAAGCCTGGTGAATAACACTTTGGGTAGATACTGGAATTCTCATCTGTTGGTGATAGGTCTTCTGTGTCCTGTGAGATATCTTATAGCAAAATACACTCATTTGTCGCCTCAACTAGATTGTTCTTTTTCAAGGCAATGGCCTCTTCTTCAATATCTTTGTGCATCTAATGCCTGGTGCAAGAATCACTCAATATATATTTCAGGTTGTTGCCCATGACTGCTTTAATATACTCCCTCTAGGTAAAGGTTCATACATTCAAACCTATAAAGTCGCCTTCCCTCAAGATCTAGAGAAAGAGGTTTTGGAACATTAACTAGCATCCATCTGGAGGTAAGTAAATAGATTATCAAAGATGTGTGTGTGTGTGTGTGTGTGTGTGTGTGTGTGTGTGTGTGTACTTCTGGTACATTTTAAACCAGCATTAGATTATGTCCCCACATACCTTCTTCATCTAAATGTGCACGAAAAGGAGGTGTTGTAATAAATCATAAATTCTTAATTAAGTAGGTCATGGTGGATAGTCACGCCTGTCCCAAGCATATAACTTCTTTAGTGAAAGATATTTAAGAAAGCCCTGTCCATTGTTCTCGTGCATTGAGGTTATTAACACAACTTTGAGATGCCAGAAGTAATACCCCTCAAAAGCATAACCGAAAGCACATAATCTTGTTAACTATCCCGCTTGCTTTCTCCAGTTTTCTTTATATCCCTTCCTTCATTTCAAATGCATAAAAGAAGCTGCAAAACTTTTTCTCCAGATATTTGAGATCTTGCCCCCTGGCATATGTTGTCAGTTTGTCTCAAATAAGCTCTTATAAAAATTCTCCACAGGTTTGGATGTTTCTTATGTCAACATAAAGACTATATGTCTGAGATACAATTTGTAAAAGTCAAATTTCCATACACTATTACATAGATAGAGAGCTGCCTTTAAAAATGCATTTCATGCCCTGGTTGGTGTGGCTCAGTTGGTTGGAGCGTTGTCCTGTAAATGGAAAGGTGGCTGGTGTGATTCTCAGTCAGAGCACGTACCTAGGTTGTGTGTTTGATTCCAGATGAGGGTGTCTACCAGAGGCAGCAGGTCGATGTTTCTCCCTCATATTGATGTATCTCTTTCTCCCGTCCTCTCTCTAAAATCAATAAGCATATGTGTGTGTGTGTATATATATGTATAAATGTGTTTCACTGGAATTTCATTCTAAATGAATATTCAAAAATAGCCATAAAAAATTATTTTAGTATAGTAAAGTTGATTTCACTATCATTTCCAGAAACTTGGAAAATAAAATTTCACACTTGGCAAGCTTAGCTGTAAAAATGCAGTTAACTCATTCTTCTCATCTCCTGAAACTTCTGATCAAAAACCAATGCCCCTGTGACCTACTGATCTTCTGTATTTGTTTGCCTCACCCACAGATTGAGCTGTTCATAAAATTTAATGTGCTCACGTTGACCCACTGGCTAATAAAAAGAAAAAGCATGCATTTGAGGACTTTGCTACTCTGTTTATTCCCCAAAATTGTCCTAAACTGAAAGATGTTTTGTGTTCCTTTACTCCCCTCTGCTGGTAAATTCTAAGATAGCTCCTTTTTTTTTTTTT